CACTGACAAGCCCCAGCGCTGATGGGGTGGGAGAACCTCTCCTCTCTTCCACCTTTCCCTCTCCCATGTGGGGGCCGGTTGCAAAGCCAACTCTCCATTTGGGAGTCCATCACATCTGATTGGTGGGTTTTATCCATCATCCAGCTCGGATACCGAAAAGAATTCAACATCGTTCCTCCATCGAGCCCGATCCGATTTACACCATGCTTGCTGGTGTTAGAAAACAAAGTTCATCAGCTACTTTGTAAAGGAGTGATTCGACAACTCTCTCATTCTGAGGGACTTCATAGATTCTGTTCAAGGTATTTTACAGTCCCTAAACGGGATGGTAGTCTTCGTCCAATCTTGGCCCTCTGAAATATTAACAAATTTATTAAACCTAAGAAATTTTGGATGACTACCCTTCAAAATATCCTTGCGTTGCTGAGGAGAGAGGATTGGTTCGCCTCCCTGGACTTGAAAGACGCCTATTTTCACATTTCTATTCATCCCTGCCATAGATGTCTCTTACGTTTTACCATCGGATCCGATATATATGAATTCAATGTCCTCCCGTTTGGATTAGCCACCGCTGCAAGAGTCTTCATAAAGTGCATGGCTCCAGTGTGTGCGCACCTTCAGCTTCAGGGCATCCAAGTATACCCTTACCAAGACGACTGGCTGATAGTCTCCCACACCCGGGAAGGTCTTCTCTCAGCCGTCGACTTAACTTGTTCTTTGCTGGACGATTTAGGACTGTGTATTAATCGCGAAAAATCATCCCTTGTTCCTGAGCAGGTGATCAGCTTCATTGGAGCTCGTCTCAGTTCCACCCTAGCGAGGGCATTTCTTCCTCCGGCTCGTCAGGACAGTCTTGATTCATGGATTCATCGGATTCGACAAGACAGGATCGTTCTGGTGCTCTCCATTCAAAAGCTTTTGGGCCATATGGCTGCCACGGTAGCCATTGTCCCTCACACCAGGCTCCTACTACGTCCTCTTCAGCTATTCTTCAACAAGAATTTTCACCCACAGCGAGATTCGCCCAACAAGCCAATTCAACTACCGCTGTTTGTTCTAAGGACATTGACATGGTGGACGGTACCAGACAATCTGAATATGGGTATACCATTCCAAACAGTATACCTCACCCAACATTGACTCTTTATACTGATGCTTCGTTTATCGGGTGGGGTGCTGTATGCGCAACACTTCGATCCCAGGGCACTTGGAACCAACAAGAATCGTCGAGACACATCAACTACCTCGAACTCTTAGCGATTTTCAAAGCTCTTCGATCTTTCGAGGACACTGTTTGTCAGCAGGTGATTCAGATTCACATCCAACAGCTGTGTCGCTGTGTTTTATATCAAGAAACAGGGCGGGACGAAATCTGCAGTCCTAGTTCATTTGTCCATGGACATCTGGAACTGGTGCATCCCGAGGGGTATAACTCGTCTGGCGGTCCATCTAGCCGGAACCAACAACGAGGAAGCCGACGTGTTGAGCAGGCACATGTCGATGACTCACGAATGGGAGCTGGATCGACAGGTCTGCAATCAGCTTTTTCAACTTTGGGGACATCCAGACATCGACTTGTTTGCTACCCACAAGAACAGGGTATGCGAAATGTTCTGCTCCAGAGCAGGCATGAGACCAGGGTCAGTAGGAGACACCCTCATGATTCCTTGGTCCAACATCAAATTCTACGCTTTTCCGCCGATTCCTCTATTAATGAAAGTTGTTTTGAAGATTATACACAATGATGCCACAGGAATCTTGATTACACCCTGGTAGCCCCACCAGGTGTGGTTCTCCACCCTCCTTCGGATGTCAGACAACACCTTTCTCCGCCTTCCGTTGATACCCCACCTGATAAAGCAGCAAGACGGCGCTGTCTGTCACCCGGACTTGACCTCTCTGAGCCTCACAGCGTGGCGAATTTGGTGACTGCTGTTACCGACTCGGTACTGACAACAACTCAGACATTCGGTACCTCTACTCATGGACCCGAGGCATTGCTTACTTCCTTGGTTCCGATAGACTTTGCCTCGGGATCGAGTACTCTAGACCCGGACATTCAAAGAATTCTCGAGTCTGCTCTACAACCGTCAACATGGAAATCTTTTGCAGCGAGGTGGCGCCGATTCTCATCTTTCGCTGAATCACATTCGTTTGCTCCGGAATCGGGCTCAATTGAGAATAAACTACAGTTTCTTCTGCAGCTACATCATTCAGGACTTAAACCTTCATCTATTAAGGTTTACGTGGCGGCAATCTCGCATTACCATGGTGCGATACAAGGTTCATTGGTGTTTTTACAGCCACTTATTAGGAGATTCCTCAAAGGGCTGCAGAACCTTCATCCTTCAATTCGACCTGTTATGCCTACGTGGAGTCTTTCAGTGGTACTTCAAGCGCTTACCAGAGCTCCATTTGAACCTCTGGCAACTGTTGATTTGCGTCTTGTATCCTGGAAAACAGGAAAAATTATATTGGCGTATCAACTTGCCAAGATAGACTTACCTGTCATTCCGAGAGGGCACTCCACGAGAGCAGTAGCAGCTTCTTCTGCCTTTGCCGCGGGAATCCCGATCCAAGACATCTGTAAAGCTGCAACTTGGGCTGCTCCGTGCACTTTCGCCAGGCATTACTGCCTTGATGTGTGTGCCAGACAAGACTGCTCCTTCGGTAGAGCTGTCTTCTCCGCCATCCTTCAGTGATGACACCGCCCTCCTCCGAGCTTGCTACTCACCCATATGTTTGATGGACAGAGGCACGATGAAGAAAAACAGGTTGCTTACCTGTAACTGATGTTCTTCGAGTGGCCACCTGCGCATTCACACAACCCACCTGCTGGCCCCGCTTGGTGTCGGTGAGTGGATTCTTTCATCGGTACCATGCCTTAATATTCATGGTACCTAACAAACTCGTTATTTGTTTTTCGGTGCCAGGAGAAGACCCTTTTATTCAAACGTCATTTTAACTGTTAATACTATTTATTTATTTTATTCTTCGGCCAGGGCGACTTATTTTATATTGTTAACTTGTTTTATATTTTTACTGTATAATATTTTAATTGATATATTTGTGAGCCGCCCCAAGGCTTTGGCGAATGGGGCGGCATAGAAACTTTCTAAATAAATAAATAAATAATATATTTCTCTCCCACAAGGGGGCGAACGATCGGTCTTTCAAAGACTAGGAAAATGGTGGACACTCTGCTCTATATATTGTACTGAGGGGGAGGGGAGCTGAGTTTTCCCACCAAAAACCGTTAGCTTCCTAGTCTTTCCGGCCTTAGGCACTGCGCAGGCGCAGCACGCGTATGTGTGAATGCACAGATGGCCACTCGAAGAACATCAGTTACAGGTAAGCAACCTGCTTTTTTGCTTCATCTTGCTGTAACCTAATAGTTCTATGTTCTGTTTTGCATGTAAGTTTTTCATGTTTGTTTATTGTAAGCCATCCATAGGGTGCCCTACAATTGCAACCAAAACAATACGATAAATAATATTTCCTGGTACCTTTCTCTCAGTTAATTACCTGAGCAGCTTACAAAAGGGCAAAACAAATGTATGGAAGAAGGAAAAAACCCTGCAGCTCAAAAACAGAAGAGATGCTCAGAAATGGAGACCATCTAACCATTATGGTGCTTCACAAGAGCACTGCTAACGAAACCTCCACCAAAGCTTTCTTCTCTCTTGGTGGCCACAGGCATGAGCACTAGTGGAGGTTCTCCTTGAGGAAGTGGATGAAGTCCCCCACGCCATTGCCATTCAGCACAGACTGTTTCTGTGGCGAGACATGCTCTTTTGAAATCGGATCCCCCCAGGGCTGCCGTGTCCCACTTTCCCTGCACTTACGTCCCAGCTTGGTTTTCCTGTCTGCCTTCTTGGCCGGCAAGTTGCATCTGGTTGCTCCCTCCTGCCACCCTCAATTCCTTTTCATAAGACTGGTGGTTTTTTCCTTCTCCTCTTATTCATTCCCTCGTCTTTTAGGCCTCACTGCTTCCTTGATCTGATGACCTAGAAAACTAATTCTTTTCAAACTATGGACTCCATAGGAACATATTGAAATAATTTTCCTGGGAAAGGACTTCTTCTGGAAACTGTAAGAAAAAAAAACACCTTTGCTTAAGCACTTAGGCTTAAATAGTTCTCTCTTTGGCTGCATTAATACAGTGGGAAGAGTTAGATGGGCAAAGGTTTCATGTGACTTACTATGAGAGAGGGTACGGTTCAGTCATTGATATGTAGATAAGCTACAACTATTTGCACTAACAGAAGCAACATGACATTAGAAAGTCTGGGGCTGATTTTCAAAATCTTTTTGGTTTGACCTTGGCTAATTTTTTCTGATTCAAACATAAGATGACTCACTCACTTCTTCCAGACTCACTTCCTGGATTGTTCTGTTTATGCCATCTTAGTCTTTTAGCTCACAGGTGCATTTAAGTGGCTGAATTCATTTCCCATGAGCCGCAGGAAACAGTTTAAAGATGGCAGACGCCTTTTTGGAGCTGTGCATTTTTTCATTGACATAGCCTTGGGCAGCCTGACTGACTACGCCAGGGATGATGGAGGCTGTAGTGTCTCATATCTGGAGAGTTGGGATAGGGAAGGATAAGGCATAAAGAAAAAAAATGGAGGAATTCAGCAGAAACGGTGCATCCTCACATAGCTTACCGTTTCCAAAACAGTTGGAGAAATATATGATGAGGATAATTATTATTCTTGCAAGAGGAAATGCCATGACAGACCTGATTTTAATTTTATCTGTCTATCTGAACAACACCCAAAACCACTTCTCTAAAAAGTGTTTTGTCACAACATTGTGCAAGCTACATTTGCTCATAGTTTAAGGGGTTGCAGGAACAATTGTCAAACCTTTAAGCTTTATTTTTATGTGCCTTAAGAGCCTCTTTTCTCTGTGTAGAAGCCAGATGACTTGGTGGTTCTTATTTTGGGGCTGTGTTCAGTCAAAGTCTTAAATCCAAGACTTTCTTGAAAACATGTGTTCTGGGTGCCCTTGTACAGTATCTTCATCAGTCTTTGCAACGTGGGCATCACGTCTGCTTGGACCTGTCCAAGGACCAGGGACCCTTCTTGCTCAGGTAACTGTGGTGTGGAGATAACAGAAACCATCTTCATCAACAAATACGAGGTGAAGTGGATTTGCACGTCATATGTAGATGGAACCGAAGAGGTCACCTGTCTCAGCACTTCCCTGGATTTTGGAGAAGTCTCCTCTAAGGTTTGGCTATTTCTGCCTGATCTTTTGACGTGTCCCTCTTCTCTCCGCAGATATGCCACCGCCACTGCTGCCGATGGACCTCAAAGGGGAACCTGGACCTCCTGGAAAGCCTGGCCCAAGAGGCCCTCCTGGGCCACCTGGCTACCCTGGGAAGCCAGGCACTGGCAAACCAGGACTTCATGGCCAGCCAGGTCCTGCTGGCCCACCTGGCTTTTCTGGCATTGGCAAACCGGGCATCCCAGGGCTTCCTGGCAAGGCAGGGATGAAAGGGCTGCCGGGGATGAAAGGTGAGCCTGGGATAAGAGGAGACCAAGGGCCAAGAGGTTTGCCGGGCCCACCGGGGTTGCCAGGACCAGCAGGCATCTCTGTTAATGGAAAACCAGGCCCAGTGGGCAGCCCAGGCCTCCCAGGATTCCGAGGGGAGCCTGGGGCAAAGGGAGAACCTGGCCCACGCGGCGAGCGGGGCATGAAGGGCGAGAACGGAGTGGGGAAGCCAGGGCTGCCAGGGCCGCGCGGGAACGTGGGGCCCCCTGGGCCAGCCGGTCCTCCTGGACCGGTGGCCATTGGGAAGCCTGGACTGGATGGATTGGCTGGCGCTGCAGGTAGTAAAGGTGATGCGGGGCTTCCAGGGGAACCGGGGCCTGTTGGGCAGCCTGGGCCAGTGGGCCCTCGTGGCCCCCCGGGTGTGGATGGAATTGGCATACCAGGGGTAGCCGGTGTGCCAGGCATGCAAGGGCCCATGGGCCCCAAAGGGGAGCCCGGTCTCCGGGGCCTTCCTGGGATGCCTGGGCCAACAGGATACGGGAAGCCAGGACTGCCTGGCTTAAAGGGAGACCGCGGACAACCCGGCATACCGGGAATTATTGGAGACAAAGGGGAGCCAGGAATGGATGGCGAGCCAGGTGAGATGGGGCCCCCAGGCATTATTGGGCCTCCCGGTGCACCTGGCTCCATGGGCTTGCCAGGCAAACATGGCATTCCTGGTCCCAAAGGTGAAACTGGACCGGGCGGGCCTGCGGGACTACCAGGCATGCGTGGGGACCAAGGGCCCAGTGGTTTCGTGGGGAAGCCGGGGATTCCTGGGGAGAGAGGACTTCCTGGTCCACAGGGGATGCTTGGTCCCATGGGCCCCAAGGGGGAAAACGGTTTCATGGGACTTCCAGGGGTTCCTGGGCCCCCTGGCCCCATGGGCGGAAAGGGGGATTCTGGAATCCCGGGGCAGCCAGGCCTCAGGGGCCCGTCGGGAATACCTGGATTGCAGGGCCCTTCTGGGCCAATGGGCCCTCAAGGTTTACCAGGCCTGAAAGGGGAGCCGGGCCTGCCAGGGGCCCCAGGAGCTGGCAAAGTAGGGGAGCCAGGCATCACAGGGCCCATTGGGCCACCAGGGGTTCCTGGTAACCCTGGATTAAATGGGGTGCCAGGGCCCCCGGGCCCACCCGGCCCCCCAGGTGCGCCAGGAGTGTTTGACGAGACAGGGATTGCGGGCCTCCACTTGCCAGACGGAGGAGTGGAGGGAGCTGTGCTGGGGAACGGCAAGCCTGGGAAGCCGCAGTACGGCCGAGGGGAACTGTCTGCCCAGATGGTGCCTGCCTTCACTGCCATCTTGACCTCACCGTTCCCAGCTTCAGGAATGCCCATAAAATTCGACAGGACTTTATACAACGGGCACAATGGCTACAACCCAATGACGGGGATCTTCACTTGCCCCCTCTCCGGCATCTATTACTTTGCTTATCACGTCCACGTTAAAGGAACTAACATCTGGGTGGCACTTTATAAAAACAACGTGCCTGCCACCTACACCTATGATGAATACAAAAAGGGCTACTTGGACCAAGCTTCCGGTAGCGCCGTGCTTGAACTCAAGGAGAACGACCAGGTCTGGGTCCAAATGCCATCGGATCAAGCCAACGGCCTGTACTCTACTGAATACATCCATTCTTCTTTTTCTGGATTCCTCCTTTGTCCCACATAACGGCTATTGGGCACATCGCTTTTCATCCACTTTAGCCATAAACTTGTCTTTAAAAAACACAATGCAAAAAACAAAACAAAAAATACAAGTCACTGGGAAGCTGGTGCACATCAATGGTGTGGAACCATTTTGACCAAGCCAAGGAGTCAATATGAGGAAGAGAACTTGGTTGTTGCTGTACCATCTTTGAATTTGGAATTTAGTTCACCCCAGTGACTGCACATCCGCTACAGATGCCAACCTGGGGATTAGCTACCAGTCAATTCTCTTTGGACACACAGAAGGCATATGATAGATGGCAGTGCTTGGGGAGCTGCATCCTACCACAAAAAAAAGTTGTGGATTTCTTTGGTCAGCTTAAGGCATCTCCTTACAAATTTAGCATTTGTTCCCATTTCAGCTTTCTGTTTCAAATGTGATTTGAGTCATTCTCTTGTGACATAATGAAAACACAAAGGGTTGAATTGTCAAATTGTGGAATGCTTTGCATAAGCACCTTTTATACAATGCTCAACATGTCGTTAAAGCATCCCATCAGAGGCATATAAAAAAGGATAGCAAATGAAACCTATTCCAAAGACTTCTGAAAGCCCCTGTAAAAACAGGATTCCATAAAATACTTGTGTTTGATAGCTTATCAGTGAACCATGTATCTAAATGCCCAGCATGTTTAAGTTAGCCATCTAAAATCCCATGGCTGTGTGAAAGCTGTCGTCTGCCAGTCCTGGGATAAAGGTACTTCAGTTGCTACCAGCTTAACTGGGGAAAGCTTGAATTGGAGCCTCAAAAGTGCCGGAAAACAGTGGTTTTTCTTCAACTTTTTGTGGAGGAAAGTTGGAAATACTCGTTCCCCTAAAATTTTTGATTTAAAAAAACAGAGTTCATAGTAACTTTCAATTCAGTCATTCCTAGAATGGTGCTATTAGCTAATTAATGTTAGCTACTTAAGAAGTTTCAGTATTGTGCAATATCGATAAAAAGTTGCAACGTGTTGCATGCAAAGATTCCTGTGACATAGGAATAAGTTTATGGTCTTTTTTTGCCACTTGATCTCAGTAATGCTTGAAATGTCACCTGTTTGACTCTGGGTTACAAGGTTATTTTGAGATGGTAGGCATGATTGTGTCTATGTGAATGGTTTCCCTGCAATCAATTCTTTTTGGCCTGTACATTGCTTTCATAAATGATAATGCATATCCTTAAATTACTAAAAGGAGAACTCTCTAATTAGGGAGAAAGAGCGTGCTCTCTGTATAGTCCTGGTAGGAAGAAAATAGATGGCATTTAACTAGTCTTTCAAGGGTCCAGGATGTCAGCAATATATGGCCAGAGTAGCTTGGTGCAATTCTCCAGGTTTACTGCAGACAGATGTATTTAAAGAACATTACGAATACCATTACCACTGAGTTTGTGAACAGGTATCTTAAGATGGCATTTGAGAGAAAAACACCACGATCTGGATTGCAAAAATATCCAAACCAGAATAAGGAAGTTGGGTCACCTGCTGCTTGATCTGTACTGCCCACTGCCTCTTACTAGGTTTGCATGGCTAGGGAAGGAAAAGGGCCACTTGCCATTTCGTTCCATCCTTCTGCCATTCCACCATTTCATTCCATCATTCCATCATCATCCCATTGGGCATAAGTTGCTGTGCCATCTGAACTCAATAAGGGTAGCTGCAAATCACCCTAGAACAACCCACAAATGGCAGTGTCTGGAAGCCACCTCCATCATCCTCATCACTGGGTTTAGAAGACATACCTGGTGCATATAAATATACAAACAAGGTGATGGTTTCTTTTCCTTCCTCAGTTATACGAATCTGGCCTCTTTCTTTCCTTTAACTTAAACTTGTTTGTCTGATTTAGACACAACAAAAGCATAGACCCAATAGTCCTGATTCCATCTGATGTTTTCTAAATTCCTGGAGAGGACGAGAATGCCAAAGGAACACATCCCTCGCAATAACATCTTTGATTTCACATTGGATCACAGCAGGCTAAAATCAAAGAAGCCAAGAGCACACATTTTCTATGTGCCTAATATTGGAAGGGGGATTCTAGATTTGTACTCTTGATTTAACTGTATTTTCCTATGGTGAAGAGCATTAAGCTTTTTTCTTTCTTTCTTGCACCATCAGATCAAAGAAAATGTGTTACTGTTTAACAAGGTCACATTGCCTGAGGTGGAAAGAGTGGTGGATAAGTACTCTAACAGCAGTTGAAAACTGCATACATCCAACTTTTGCTCCTGGGTGCCTTGTACACAATTTATACCGTGTTCTAAAACAGAGCTAATCTCTTTTTATTTTTTCCTTTGTAGATCTGTCATTTGTGTTCTGGCTGGTAAGACAGAAAACACAATGACAAAATATGTACTTATCTCCAAATCAAGAAGTATTAAATTGTTCAGTTCCATAGGCAATGTTTTGCAGTTTAACCATTCTCCTCTCATACACAGCATAAACCTCCTGCATTTATACAACTTTAAAAACTTTTTAACATAGCATACCAAAAAGCACCATTATTACACACAGGAAAATGAAGCATGGGCTGAAGAGGCTGATCGGCAAGACATGGGTTAGCTTATTTTTATGGATGCATTGATGTTTGTCTGTGACAAAAGTTGGATCTTATTAGATAACATGTGGGAATAAGGTTTCAGTCAGCAGAAAGATCAGGTTTGGAAGGTTCTTTTAACTATGCATTACAATATGCATTTTTATATACCAGTTCTTTTTTTAAAGAAGAAAATGCCTCTAGTATCTTCATTTCTAACCTAGTATATAGAGGGTTTTTAGTTTTGTAAATACTTATGTTACATGCACTGTTTCACAGTAAATTCGGTTTTTAAATGCACTCTTATTTTGTGATCAAAAACTGGCCTTCACTTCTGAACTGAAACTACAGTACTTGATTGTATTGACCCAACATCAATAAATCTTATTTTACAAAGATTCATTTGCATTTCAAGTTACCGCCTGCAAATATCAAGCACACCTAAGTAGTTTCGGTCCTAATCTTTAGAGCAAACCTGATCTTTGATTGTCTCTTGTGAAATTAAAGAAAAAAGGCTGAAGGTTTTCAAGCCAACCAGAATGCAAAAACCTAACCCTGCTTCCCACACCTGTTCGCTTCAGCACTGCAGCATTTTAGGACTGGGCTTTACTTTTGACATGTGGCAACTCCAACTGGATTACTTCCTTCCTTAAACTCAAATGTAGAATATTCTTGAGAACACAATTCTGTTCTTCGGTAGAGTTGGTGGAAGCGTATGTGCCTTTCCCTCTTGACTCACCCAGTGTGCCTTTGCCCTGCTTCCGCCAACAGCAGGCAGTCCAGTGTGGATAGAAACATACTGCACAGTCATTTTCTGGATTAAAAAAATGGTTAGGGCCTAGGAACACATGTCTTCCTAAACATTGCCATGTTCACAGATAACTGCTGGCGTATCTGTAGGGGAACATCCAATCTAACCTTTTGGTTTATACTGTAGGCAGTTGATTTTAAATACAGGAATAGCAACACACATTGCTGGTATCAAGGATATGCGTGAAATTAGATTCCAAGAATTGCTCAGTCAACAAGAGTAACAGTTCAGTTTTTCTCTTCTGGCTATTGCAGCTACACAGAAAAACCACAAACAGCTTCTCTAACTATACTTGATGAATTCCCACCATCAAGTTAGTTGAAACACCATGTTTAAAACCTTGCCCTCATTTTATTTCCCAAGCACAGGTCCTCATTCTTCCTCAGCATTCCTCAGAATGCCATCAAGCATTCCTGAGTGTTTTGGGTTGAGAATGTCGGTCAAATCACTAAGAACACCCTAAGGTACAAAGACTTAGGCATGGCAAACTAAGAGTGCTGTTTGAATCCTGCTGAGATTTAGAAAGTCTCAAAATCAGCTCAAGAGGAGGAGAGAAAAGGGATGGGGGAGAGAGACTATGCATGGAAGCAGCAAAAAGCAATTGGTGCTTTTGAGTACTTGGTTATGCCAGGAATTTTGATCAGCCACTTGGTCCTTCCTTGAGCATGCAGATGATTTGCACCTCTGGAGTGTGAAGGAGCAGACGTGCCTTCCTCCAGTTCAGGCCTGCTGGCAGTAGAGGTTGTACAAGCTGTCGGCCAGTGCCTCCGTCTCCTCAAAAGATTCACAGCTGTGCTTCCAACTCTGGGGCACCTGTTCCTCCCCATAATAAGCCCCAGCGATGGCCCCAGCCATGGTTGCAATTGTGTCTGTATCCCCACCCAGTGAGATGCAGTAGATAATAGTCCGTTGCAAGTTGTTGAAGTCCTCTGGGATATCTGGGTGTGACTCCATGCAGCGCAGGAAGGAGTAAATAGCAGTGGGGACCGAATGCAAAGCCGCAACACCATTGCCTAGTGAGAAGCAGACAAATCCACTTAGTGGGCAAGAGCAAAGGTATCGAGCCTGCCCTTGCAAGCTCTTACTCGCTTCAAGATTAATAGCACTAGGGAGGCAGGAAGGATTGCGTTGATAAATGCACTGCTCATACTCCAGTGTCTCCCAGAGCGGTACAGAACTCTGCCCATTTTCCAGCCCTGGTCCCTGCAGAGAGAGAAGTCTGCAAGGCGCTCCCAGTGCTGGACTTCAACCTCTCCCCAGTAGCACCAGTGTCGAGCGCTTGAGAACACTGCACTGCAGAAGAGAGTGGAGGATCCACCCCCCTCCCCCCCCCCCGGGGAGGGCCCAGACCTCACTCTCCACAGCAGTGGCAAGGAAGAAGCCACGAAGGCATGGCTTCGGGTCCCACAGCCATGCCATGCCATGTTACTCCATGAAATGCACCAGCTAAGTGCATGGTCTTGCACAGCACAGTAAGCAACCCTGCTTGCGAGGTGCCTGACAGTTGTGTGGGGGTCTCACAGGTGGAGGAACCTCACAGGTGGAGGCCTCACAGGAACACCAAGGTTCACCCCCTCTCTGTTAGTGGCAGCTGGCAGGGCAGTGAAGGGAGGGGTGGAGCAGGGCTGCTGAAAGCCCTCAACTTACAAGTAGACCTTATGAGCTGTGGCAAGGTCTGCACCGCCAGTCACAATGGGCAACTCCACTGGGAGCAGCAAAATCTGACTGTGAAGCCCAGCTGGCTGCCTCCAACAGCCGTCTCCAAATGCTGCTTGGGAACTTTGGGGCGGCTTTTGTGGGCACTCTCCCAGAGCCACTTGACTGGAAGAGCCAGGATTTCTTGATGCTTTTGCCAAGGAGCTTGACAGCGATTCAGGGTAACCCCTGGGCTTGCCGTGTTGTTAAGTTTTGCAGACACAACAAGCCCAGGGACGGCTACCAAACCCTACAAGCCACGACCTCTCAGTGTGGCTTGTAAGCCTAGAAACTGCCCACTAACTGCCCTTCTTGTTTTGTCATCTCTTGCTAGGTGTTTTCAGCATATGATTATTTGTAGTGTGCTTTCTCTGAACAAGGAAACTATATTTCTGGCCATCAGTTGGCTCTCAACATCCATGTTCTTAGGCACTGGAAATTCACTAGATTTTTTGAAAAGCTACTGATGTTTACAGCATCAATCCGACTGTCCCAACACCTATAGTAATAAGTTCCCTGAATCAAGGAAGCACTGTGTGAAGACACACATTCTTGCCTTAAACCTCCTGTAGCTCAGTTTTACTAGAAGAAAGCTCTCCTCCACTGCCTCTTCTCCCTTTGGATGAACCGTCCTTCACACACACACACCAAACCCTCTTTTTATTATAAACAGGAATGTTTGATCTTTCTATTCATTCCCCCTCCAGGGCAGATCACTCCATTAATTACATACTAGGATTTTATACCTGCACACATCACAGATCAGATAGACTGTTTTCTGGTCCCAACACTGGGAGGCAGGGTCAAGCACAGGAATATCCTTACCTAATTCTAGCACCACATCTGATTTGGATACAGTGCTTTGTTCCAGAAATTCTTTGATCTTCTTCAGACGTTTTGAAAAAGGGTATTCCTCGTAGCCCAGCCTGAAGAGAAGAAAGCCCAGTCAGCCTGGTGCCTCTGCATGCCACTGCCCCCTTGTGTTACATTCAGGTATAAACAGAAGCTCGCTCCCATGCTCAACCTACTCACATTCGAGCATCCACAACAGACTTGTCATCGGCTTCCACAGCCTCCATGTGACTGATCAGCTGCTCCAGGAACTTGTCCCGACTCAGCTCACCCTGGAGTGCGTAGTGAACTGCCAAGGCCTGCAGTATAGCTCCATTGTAGCCCAAACTGTTGGCGTGGGTCAGCTCTGCACTCAGTTTTGCAAACTGCAGAGGCAAAAGACAGAGTGGGAAGAGCTGTGCTTGAAAAGTGAAAATACTACTAGTAAGCCTACTATGGGCTTACTCCAGATGCACCCCAAGTTGTGTGCTGTGTTACCTGACTAGCTTCACTAAGAACCTCCCTCCAGGAGCTAATTTCATGACGTTCAGTTCTAAAACGGCTCCCAACCAGCAGGGGGAACGGTGGCAGTGAGGAATCCATGCCAGAGCACCTGCCGTGATCAGGTGGCACCAGCTCACGATTCATGCAAAGCCTATTTCCCCGTTGGGGTACATGAGAGCAGTGCAATTTCTCTTGTGCTAAAAATGTGACCCTGGGTTCTACACAAAAGTAGGGGGAGTTGGAAAGACAATGTGTGCAGGGTAACAGCCCTATAAAAGGAGAGGGGAGGCTCATCTGCTCAGCATGACTCCTCTGAAAACAGTACTGCAAATTTAGCATACACTGGAATATGTACCATGGAAAAAACAGCATATAAAAAAGCCGTGATACGACTGGTCGGAAGAAATCCTGCACAGAATGACAAAAATGGTGCGAGGAGGAGAGTTGGGGTGAGTGTCACGTGACATGCTTGTGAGTCAGCCATTACAAAGCCAGCAAAAATGCCTCGTACTGCTCACCCTGTACTATTTGCTGCCCATGGAGTTCAGCTATATGGTAACCGTGGCATCCACTCCTGTCGCCACCGTCCAGAACACATGTGAGAGGGACAGCTGCCTTCCTCACAGACCTGCAGTTCTTCCGAGCCCAAGACTACTCTAACCCTAGGCAAAACCGCAAACTACCCCAGAGGTATTGGCTTTTCCAGAAGGAAAAGGGCCAGAAGTTGCAAACCTTATGGAATAACCCACCCACACTGCAACCAACAAGTGAATTTAAGTGAAGCAGAGAGGTTACAGGATTTTTAGACTGCCACGAGGTTGTTGCAAAGATTACTGAGATACTGGCCCACTAGAACACAACACTTGTACACCTCCAGGCTTATTAAGAGCAGAGAGGCAAACTAGGCTGTAGTCTGTGAAGACCTTTCAGCATTATACAGACACTGTGCAAAAAGTTGAAACAGATCAACACACCTTTTTTACATCTTGAATGTTAGAGTACGCTAGCGAAATGCCTGCCACTCGCATGGCACCGCCGTTCCCGTAAGAGCCTTTCCCATTAAACTGTTGCCTGGCTGGCTCAAACACATCTCTGCATTTGGGGCTCAGGAGCTTCTTGAATACGGTCACCACGCCAGCTCCATAGGTCCGGTCAGGGTCCTTCTTATATTCCTCAGCAAAGCTGCCAGGGGAAGACTCGGTTACAGAACTCTCTACTTACGTTATGGACAGCTGCTAACGATAAGAAAGGTCCAGCGCCTAGTTAGTCCATGCATCAAGCACAAAGGGTAAATCTGGAGGAACTGTGGGCCACCTTGCCCAGCAATGACAAGCACTCTGACCAAGTGGATTAATTAATTAGTTGATTAACCCCCTTAATCCAGTTAATGCTCATAGATCTATTCTGACTTCTAAGACTCAAGTTCTTGGTGTAAATGGATCCATCTTGGGCTTCTCTCAATACCTCAGGCCTGCCCCCAGCTGTGCTCTTTCCCACCCCTCCGGAAGGCACATGCCAAGCAGCAGCTACGATGCGCCCTGAAAAACACACCTCTCTCATGGAAAATAGTCAGATGAGAATCAGGTATTTTGTGAGATAAGTGTGCAGATGCCTAACACTGTAGAGAGGGGGAAATTCTTTAAACCTTGCACATGGAGATGTTTGTGGAAACCTTCACCACTTTTGCCAAGCATGTCCTGCAAAATGCCTCCAGGACAGCACGTCATTCAAGTTACGAACGGGAAAGCATGCAGGAAACACTTCATGAACCTATCAAGCTGTGCTGCACGGAGCCAGACCTACTGGTTCACAGCTTCATCTACCTGCTGGACACAGTCAGCGGTTGTCCAGTGCCTCAAGCAGGGAGAGGCCTTTCCCAGTCCTTCTACCCAGGAGCTCAAGTCGAGAATGAAACCACCGTGCTTACCGCTTTGCCATATCCACTTCATCAAAGTCCCGCCTGGCCAAGAGTGACCTCACTATAGAGTGCGCCATGGCTGTGTCGTCACTGTAGCAGAGGGTTCCTAGTAAGAGAAGACTAAGCATGCAGTGGACAAGCACATCAAGAACTTCACTGCCTCCCACTGAGCTCCTGATCACTCTCTGTGTGTGCTTCCAAGAGATGGTTGTTATTGGGACAGAGGGAAACTTATTCTTTGCCTTACTCACCACACAGATGCTCTACCCTATTCACTTTCAATAGGTGGATTGTGATCCAAAAGCAGTTAAGTTGGCTCTCTGCAACTTATGGTGGGCTAGACCAGGGAATGCACTACCAATAGCTTTATTTACTCTGAACTGTTCAGAATTCATTTTTTAAAAGAAGCACAGAGGCAGGTTAACCAAGATGCATTTCTGAATTTCTAAGAGTTATGTTAAAAATTAGGTGAGGTCCCCTCACCCCTTCAAAGCAAGCTGTACTAAGAATAACAATCTCCTAGATTAATGTTCTTGAATGCAGGCCACTGGTGGTCTTAACTGGCTGAAGTGCAGCCTTCCACCTTTCTCCACCTCAGGCAATAGACTGAGAAGTCTAGTGGGAGCCCAGCTACCTCCACCTTTCCACCACCCAAAGAAGAGACGGGGTCTGCTTGCCCAGCTGACTTCCAGTTGCAGTCATACTGCTGCAGTTACAAGAAAACCTTCCTCCTTCCTCTCTCCTTTCCCGTAATTGTCCCTGCCATCACTTGTTGACTCACTCAGGGCTTTTCTTAGCCTGCTATGCTGGTTTTCCCTCCCAGTTCCCTCCTTCTAACTGGTGTAAGTAGGAGACGTGGGTGCAAAGCAATGGCAGCAAAGGAAGGTGTTGGGGCAGCAAGAGCAAATATGCTAACTTTGCTGTGACACAGCAGACTCTGGGGAAGGGAGACTAGAGCATAGTAAAATTCTGCTCCTTAGAAGCAGCCGTGACTCAAACATTAAGCAACCCTTCCTTTTCCTTCATTTTTCTTCGCAAAGGAGTCCCTCAGAATTATGTCCTGATTTTTCCAGTTCTGTGCATTATTTCTCTCGTCCCAACTCCTCTCTTCTCTTTAATTTAAATTATGTACAATTTCATAGCTCAAAGAATTTCACAGGGCTGAAGCATATGCAGTTCCCCTTCCCACCTGCCTATGAGCTCTCCCATCCGCTTCCTAAAAAATGCCAAAACCTGCTAATCTAACCTGTTTTAACCTGCTCAAAGGTATTTTTGAAGGGACTAGCTAGGAATTCTTCCACATGTACATAATTGAAAATACTATTGCTGTGGCTCTTCCACTGAAATACTTTTTTGCAAAATGGTTCCCCTCATGAAAACTAGCAATGAATCACTGTCTCGCAGAATTAAATCACAGCAGCCCTGCTTCCTTTGGCTGAAGGAGGCAATTTGCTTAAGCCTACAATTCCCATCAGCCTTAGCCAATCATAAGTTGTAAGCCAAGAAATCTGTTGGAACACAAGTTGTCCACCCCTGCTGTACGCATTGTCAAAAGGCATTACAATGTGTTCCATATTTTGCATTCGAGGATTCAGAAGAAGTACTACTGTTGGTGGAAAGGAAGGCTTAATTAGTGTGAACCATGAGTAACCAATGCCGTAAAATACAAATGTACCCTAAATTCTTGTAACAGCAGCCACCACACACAGGTCAGCCCTCTTAAGTTAGTATCACAGCAAGACCCATGAGGGGATTTTCCGCACCTGCACTTGCACAGGATCGCCCCCGAATCAGCACAGCGGCACTCCCCACGCGCAGGATGGCACCCGCAAAAGCCGACGGGGTGTGTGCTCGCCCCCCCCCCGGCATGCTCAGGATCGCGCCCCGCGCCATGATATCGCAGCAGCTGCATGGGGGGGAGGGGTGCTCCCGAATTACCCGCGGGCTGCCCCCGCCCCCGAGGTGCCTGATCAGGGCGCCCCCCCCCCTCCCCCCCCCGCAACCCCCCCCCCCAGGGGCAGCCAGCGCGCTCCCGCCACGCCCGCCCGGCCGATGGGGAGCAGATGCGCTTACGCGGGCCGCGGCCGGGTTCCGGGCGCTCCTCATCTGCGGCAGCCTTGGGCGGCCGCAGTCCCCGCACGAAGCGCAGCAGCTCGGCCAGGTCCACCACGTCGAAGGCCTCGAAGCCGCCGCCCAGGCAGTCGCCCAGCAGCGCGCCGAGCAGGCAGCCCCGGAACCGGCCCCGGCTCCGGCCCAGGACTGTACCCGCCGCCGCCGCCGCCGCCGCCATCTTGGCGCCGCGGCCCTGGCTGAGGGACCTCGCCGCCCGCCCGGGCCCCACGCCCTCTCGCGGAAGACGCCCAGCGCGGAGCATTCGCACGTGCGCGGGGCGGCCGCAGGTGCCGCGGGAGCCGCGCGTTAATCCGTCGCGGAGCCTGGTGGGGGCAGCCTAAAAGCTGGATCTGCGCGACACAGGAAAACCGATGCCTCGATGGGGGAAAGCCCTGTAGCTCCTGGCATGGCTGGCTGGGGAATGCGGCGGGCCGTAGGACTGGCCTCCTGTCTGGACCGTGCACAGGTTTGAACCTGTATCTCCCACCTTTTTCTTTTTAAGAGCTCAGAGCGGATTACACCTTCCTGCTGCTGTCCATTTCATCCCCACAATAACCCTGTGAGGTAGGCTGGGCTGAGTGTGGCTGGCCCAACGTCACCCAGTCGGTTCCATGGCTGAGCAGGGACTACAGTGCACATCACTCGAGTCCCAGTGCCGCACTACGCCACACTGGCTGTCTTTTATATTAGCATATTAGCATAGAATTACCCTTATTCATGTTGTTACTGCTTATAACCAGAGTTAGACCTGCAGGAAGGGGGTTGGCTCTGGGTACTGACGAGTTGATTTCTGGCCCTGGGAGCCCATTTTGAGTGCCAAAGGCAAGGTCTGGAAAGGGTGAAATAGCCACCAAATGGATATGATTTCTTGGAACGTATGCAGAGTTCGTATCCCCTTCACTTCCAAGTAGTCTGCCCAGCATATAGGGTTTTTTTCTGTCTAAGCATGCATAGAGTAGCACCACAATGGCTTAACAGTAGGCTAACTGAGCCACTGAAATCATGAAAGTAGATTTGTGTTTGAAATAATGTCTATATCTGCATGAGCTCCAGATCTGGTACTAAAAACCACACATTCATGGGCCAAGCATATACTCACAGGTGATCAGTTCCATCTCCACCTTTCTAAGCCCATGCTTTACTCCTGGCTCTAGTTGCTGGACCTTCTGCAGTTCTAGAAAAAAGCAAAGTTGATTCCAACAGCCTAGAATCTTGTCAGCCATTGCTTTGAAACAGGGCAGTAGTGCCCTCACACATTTTGATTCATTAGGCTTGGCACACTAGTCAAACCGGCTGAAATTCACCCGCTGCCCCCTCCCTGCTTTGACTAACAAAAAGGCCCCTGCATTCACCTGGGTTCTACCTGCTGACCAAATGGCACTGGGAGTGCAGATTAGCAGCCATCACACTTCATCAACATGTATACCTGCTCCTATGAAGGAGTACTGCTCAGGTAAATGCTGAGATGCCCATACATATATTTTTAGTACAACCATGTTTACTTGGAACAACTAGGAAAAGTACTGAGGCTAAGAGGAAATATTTGTGAGGACCCTGGGAAAACTTAAGTGCCTGGAGTGGTAGGGGACACGCAGTGCAGCTCTAAGGTTATCTCCCTTGACTCTTCTGAAATGAGGATGAGGATGAAAATGACAAATTTGGCAGCTTAGTGATAAACTAGAAGGGGGATTATCCCTGCACCTGAAGAGCAAAATTGTGTTTCGCTCCCTTTGTATCTCAGCATTTTGACAAGTTAAAGCATGCATTTATTTTTTCCTCTTGTCTTGCTCCTGTTAGCTATTAGCAAAAGCTGTATTACAGAAATATTTCCATCTCTGCAATTAAACCCTATGGTTTAATACACATTGCTTGTTTGTAGGTTCAGGGATAAGATAGGATTCTTGTTTAGTAGTTCTGGGTAATACTGATTGTGGAAATCAAGGTGCTTGATAGGCAATTTAACATGTTAGGGAGACAGAAGCCATAGCCAGTTCAAATATAATAGAAAATACAGAAAAGACCTAAACTCCATCCAGAGGGGTTACTTGCTGCACAATTCGAGAACTTTGGCCTCAGCTGTAGACATCATATTGTTTGAATGAGAGGCCAGACTCCTAAGCTAACAGACTTCCTGTGCCAGCTTCTGGGGTGATTATATATTGGAGCGTAGCATTAGTTGCAGTTAACAGGTTGGCTAAAGATTTAAGCATGCTGTCCCCCAGTTTCAGATGTATTTGGCATTCTGACTCACTTCAAAGCCAGGCAGCAAGTTTTAGTCATTATTAAAGGTAACAGTGTGGAAGACAGACATGTCCTAAATCACTGGGAAATTCTTCATGGATGCTATTGAAAAAAAGCATGAGCTGCGTATCCAGTATTTTCCAGTACCTTGTGCTCTGTGTTAACCCTCTTCCCAACTCAACAAAAAACAGCATTAGTTGCATTTGAGATCATTTGAGACCCTGATGAAAGTGCCACAGGCAAGATAAATGCTGCATATAAAAAAATCTCATTTAAAATATCTTCCATGTACCTTGTCTCTGCATAACAACAGTTTGGCCTATTGGCTGTTTGCTGGAGGTTTTAGCTAAGAATCTTAGTTTTAAAAAGAGACTAAGATTATCTGTATTGAACTTTCTTTTCCTTTATTTGGGGCACTTTTGTTCCCCATATGACTATTCCTGTGGAGATTCTAGGATATTTTTGTGCCATGGGCTTGACTCGGGGTGTGGGGGAGACTGTAAAAGCTGGGTGACCGAAATTTGGGGCTGTTTTTGACTAGGCATTTTATGACAAGGTCCTAGAAGGATATATAGTTCTGTTGTTGTGGGCCATCAAGTTTTCTCTGACTTATGGAGACCCTGTGAGTGAAAGCCCAACAAAATGCACTGTCCAGGACATTCCTGCTCAGCTGTTCTAAATTCAAGGCTGTGGCTTCCTTTATGGAGTCAGTCCATGTCTTCTTTAGTCTTCCTTTCAACTTTCCTTAACATGATTGTCTTCTTCAGTGAGTTTTTCACCTGAGAAAAGATTTCTGAAACACATTGGGCATACAAATAAATCTTATTTTGGCAAATAGAAGTCTTTCCTCTTTGTTTTCCCTTTTCAGTACAAGAGAATTTCTCATTTAAATTATTGTGAAAGCTTTGCAAGAGTGCTAATAGCCAGACAAAACCTGTAGTGTTGTTTGTTTAGTAGTTGTAAACTTTATTGCCATATCAAAGCTGTACGTGTCAAATAAGGGGCAATAATACAACTCTGGAAGCAGACCGGGGGAAAGAAGGATAAGGAAATTCAAGTAATTTAACGTAAAACATGTCAGCTTGGCTTGGCATGGAAGCAAGGCACTGGACGGAGATTTAGTGCTATTTTACCAAACCAATTCTTCCTTTGTTCAGATACAGTTTGTTGAATACTATGCCAGCTCCAGCTGTCGGCTCTTGAGGGGTGATAGGGTACGGTTGGTGGTTCGATTGAAGGTGTCCACCTCAGGCACAAATTTCTCAGCAGGGACTGTCAGTTTCCGCCTGCCATCCATGCATTTGTTATCCAGCATCAGGGAGTTGGTCTTGTAGCCAATGTCTGTCTGGATGCGGTACAGGTGTTTGTAGAGAGCATCCAAAGCATCCCTGTGAAAGGCCAGGAATAGATGATCAGGGGCTTGTCGCTTTCTTGTCTGAGGTGAAGCTTGCAAGCGCCTACTGTCTGTACAAGAATTGTTCTAGAACAGAACCACACGACCACTGGCATACTGATATAGTTCTGTGTGATTCAAATGGGATTAAGTCATGTGGAACTGGGCAGAGAGAAGACAGTTGAATTTTCAACTGGAGGATCTTTGCATCATTATCTTTTTAAACATGTATGGGTGGGTTCATAAGGACAAGTAACCATAACAGAAGAACAAGCATTTCTCTCCTTGTTGAAAGGTTTCCCTGTAAATGGTCAATTTTAAGGACATGATGCTTTCCTTACAAGAATTTGCACTAGTGTGAGAAATAAACAGTGTATTCCATTGGTAGGGAGGTCCCTTGAATGTATTTTTCCACAGGTACATTGTTAGGGCCAGAGTGTTTATGCGGCTTCCTAAAAGTCAGTTAGCTGGCAGAACAGATCCTAATCTTACTTCAGAACAGATAAATACTGGTTTATATTTTTAAGAAGTTTTTGTTTCCAATGTCAAAAGTGTCTTTTTGACCATAATATTGCTTAAAATAAAATGTCATCTTAAATACAAATATGATAAACCTCATACCTGCAATTTAAAAAAGTTACCAAACAGAGAAAGAGTTGAAAGCTGATATTCTATGTAAAAAAAAAAAAAGAACTATAAGCACATATATCTTTCCTGAGCTTAAGCATTATAAATATGGTGTTTCTTGTATCTGTTACTATCCGGCCTATAGCACATCATTACAGGTGTTATATTTCATCCTGTATTTATCACATCAAGATAATCAGACTCCAGTGACTACCAGCTTCTCCTTATGGAAAGTGATACATAGTTCCACATTGTGAAAGACACCATTTAAGATGTATTCTTCTAGGCCAGTTCTTTTCATCTGAGTGCCCTTCACCTATTTTGGACTATACCTCTTTGGATTGCTACCCCTTGTCCATGGTGGTTCTGTCTAATGCATGTTGAAGTCCAAAACATCTGGAGGGCAACAGATTGAAGAAGGATGTGCTGTGCTATGTAATGAAAGTAGCAGGCACTTTTTAGTAATGTGTGGAATGCCTTTCTGCTATCGTCTCTTCTTCCAAATTTTATTTAGCTGTGTTAAGCAGTTTTACATTTTGTATGTCTTAACATCTGTTCAGAAGCCTTGAACCTTATGTGTTTGTGTGCATGTGCAGGGGCTGATGGTGGAGGGAGGAGTCCAATAAATTTAATAATCACTACCAGTATTACTTACTGATCCCAAGGCACCCTTTAGCTTCCCCAAGAACAAATCAACCTTAAAGATAGCCTATTCTCTTTTCACTGTTAAACGGGAGGGGGCAATAGCCAAACATACTGGGACTGCGCCAGCTTCTCTTTCAGTGCAGCAATTGTGCCTTCTAGCTGATGGACTTCATCTGTCAAACCGTGCTGGGCCTGCGAGTCAAAGATAAGAGGGGCTGTCAGAGCTCACAACCACCAAATGCTAGTCCTGTTAGTTAAGCATGATTAGCCCCAAGTTGTGACTCCTGTGGCTTGGGCTATGCAAAGGACGGCAAGAACCTGAAAGAACACGATCCTTAAATCACACAATTTTGCCTCTCACATCCAACATCATGTATACGTGGACAAACCCAAGCATGAAGTTGTTAAAGCTTCCCACAAGGAGCCTCCGAAGACACAATACCTGGTCCTTCAGGGAAGTGTTGTGCCCTCTCTCAGCCTCGTCTTTCCACTCACGTGCAAGAACAGCCACTGTTTCTCTGTCCCATCAGTTCAAAGCTGAAGCCTGAAGGCTTGCTTTACCTGGTCACGGCAAAGCTCCATGTTGGGGCGGTAGGTCCGGGTTTCCAGGCGAGTGTGAGCCAGTTTCAGATTCCACACCTTATTCCGGAGATCCTCCTCCAAGCGACGGATGTCCTGCTCCATCTCAGCAATTTCTTCCAGGATCTGAGGAAAATCAAGGACATAATGGGGATAATGGCTCATTATCTGGAACACCATGCAAGGAAGCCCAGAAAGCACTACTGGTAGCTGAATTTTTCCCTAATAATTTAGAAAGCTGCTATGTACATTTGCAAGGGAAACCATAAGGATGTGCCTAGCTCAGCATACCCTGCTGCTCTCAAGTTCTCTCTTTTCCTACAGGTGCTAAAAGAAGGGAGAAGAGTTAGTGTGGATGTCCTCAGGATATGCGATGGACAAAGAATTGGCAGCATGCAATTGTACGCTCCTTAATTCTGTTGCTGTTGCCACCAGCCAGCTGCCATTGCATGGGAACTCAGAAATTAAAGCGGTTCCCATTCAGAAATGCGTTTGTTAAGCTTGAGGCTGGATTCTAATCTCATGTCAGTAGGGAGAATTAATCCTTCCATCTGAGGATCTACTGGAAGATAATATATATATATATAGAGAGAGAGAGAGAGAGAGAGAGCGAGCGAGCGCGCGCGCGCGAACATACATGTTCTTACAGTGTAATTCTGGATTCTTAAGCAGTTGAAAAGAAGACCCACCCACATCTAACATCCCGAAGTGCGAAAGAATCTTAATGAGAACAGGAATCCACATTCAGCATAGAACCATTCTGTATTTGTGCAAGTTCAACCTCATGGCTTTGCAAATGTGCAAGTTTTCAGCAACAACCAGAACACTTACATTCTTCTCTTGCCACCTCAGCTCATCAAGGGCCTTCTCCAAATCATGGATTCTCTTCCGGAAGGCAAATTCTGTGGCCACACGCTGAGCTTCTAGTTCATTGTCAGTCTGGAGGGAGATTTTTTCAGCAAGAGTTAAGTGGGAGAGTGAAATCGTACATTTATGTGGTGAACTTGGTTGGAGAGAGGCATCACCTCACAAACAGTACACAGGCATTTCTCTTTGCCCCGCTGTTTACTGGTCAGGAGGCTTCTGAAAAGCAAAAGCTGTCATACCTGTATTCCCATAACAGTCAACATCCAATGAAGACGGGGTATGAGAAACTGGACCAACATCATGCTGCTGAGTTCCATGGGTAAGTAGGGATTTGAAATTGATGCTATTTTTAAGATTTCATGTGTATAGATTATGGCTTTGCCTAATGGCTAATCAAGCACTAGATGTTCTGTAATTTTCTGTGGTCTTGGTCATTGGAATAGCACTGTCATAATTTGGACAAAGCTAAAGAATGCCGTCCTAGTTTTCACTTTGATGGTAAACTTGTATCTTTGCCTATAATAAACTTCTGTCAACCCTTTATTACAGAATGCAAGAAAAGATTACTGAACAGTTACATTTTCATTTTTAAAATGCCTCTGCTCAAAAAACTCGCATGGCAAGAAAGGGGTTTGGCTAGAATCTCTGTACCCAACATGTTAAGTTTCCACACGCAGGGAATGTTTTGTACATATCACCTCTCAAGCAGTATGAAGTGGCATGGCCCCGACATAGTTTTACCACCTCTGTGAGAAGTGAGCCACAATTACAATTTGCTTTTGGGGTGGGGTGGGGAGCTAAGAAATGGATGAATATGAAATATATTAGGCTCATATTTTCCCTCCAGAGGGATTTGATACAAGAACAGCAATTTTGCTTAGATTTTCAGATGCCTCTTTTTTCATGGTCCCATTCTGGGTTTTAGTTCTTATCAGTGCTGGAGGGTAATGCTAGATTGGGCTATGAAAGATAGCTAGGCTAACAGACAGAGTAAATGTTGGTCTTTTGATCTCATGTACGTTAACTAAAGCCTGATGGCATCCATAGTGGATCCCCCTGTGCTGCTTGCTTGGGCATGCACACGCCCTCTCTCTTCTCATATATATTACAGTTGCAAGCAGGGAATTTGCAAACTTATTTCCAAACATTTAAAGTGCTATGTAACTCAGCAACAGTATATCAATTTTCTCAAAAAGATTGCATCCCTCAGAAGCAGTTTACCCCTCACAAGATTTCATACTGGTTATTAAACATAGTTATTTCCCAGTAATTATTACAGTAGTTCTCTTTTATTAAAGTTAAACGATTATTAAAGTTCTCTTTTATTTTGTAGTTGTAAATTTTCCCCATCTGGAGTTCCAGGTTTTACTGTAACAAACCTCCAACCCTTTCCAAATCTATTAATCCTAAATTTGCGAAAGACAACATATAATCTTTTTTAAATACTGCTAGATCCTACAGTTCAATATACCATTCCTTTATCCTAGGTTCTGATTTTCAGTGTTAAGCTAACAGAAATCTTGCCTCTTGCAACACATGAAATAAAAGGATTTCATTATCTTCAGAAAGCATTCAGTGTAACAATGTCAGTTTATACCTTGGAATCTAAAGAATTATGTCATTGTGCAGTGTATTGTTGTAAACTGCCCAGAGAGCTTTGGCTATGGGACTGTGTAGAAATAATAATGCCAACAATAATATAAATCTAGGTTAGCAAATTCACTATTTGGATTTAATAAGCTACAAGCAATATTACTTGCAAGTCCATCAGCAGTGTAGAAAATCTTCTGCTTCTTCCACTCCACATTTTCAGCATATATCTGAATGACCTTGATTTTAGAATGTTCAGACTTTATGATTTTTTTTTAAAAAGGTTACCTTCAGGATAGATCCAGTACCATATTAATTTATTAATACCTGTTGTAGCATATTGACTAAAGCAAACTACAAATTGTGTACCTTTCTGTAAGTCAGCAGTAACCGAAGTAGCTTACCTGGGCAATGGTGAGTGCTATGGCTTCCCGTAACTCTGCAGCGGCTTTCATTTCTGCCTCTGCTCGGTCCTTGTTGTATTGGCTGTACTGGTCCCATTGCTCTGGAGTGAGTGTTCTGCAACAGTCAGAAGGATCAGCTGATATGGTCAGTTACAGTTGATGCTGCTTTCCATTTTTCTCTGTGCCTAGCTCAGACACCATAGTGGGCATGGTGGATTGTGAGATGTAATGCTGCAGATGTGCAAAAGAAAGCAGCGGCCCTACCAACAGGCGGATGCAGGCAGCTGCCTTACATAGCACTCCATAGCATGCTGGACTAGGAGGAAGATAAATCTGATCTCTGGGGCCCACCTCACTAGACAGCTCCTCTGCTTGAGCCACATCAGAGTGCGCAGGAGCTACACACAAGCGCATGACTGTTCTCGTCAACAGTTGTTGCATAGGAAAGTTTCCTAGTGGGGTGTGTACCTCCCTCCATTAATTAGTGAAAGCGGAAGTATCATTTGGATGTTCCTCCTCAGATAAAAGGCCCTGGGGGTCAAAGCTGGGCTCAGAAATATCATGATTTGCACTGTTGGAAAACAAAGCCTCTGTATCGCAACTGTCGGCATTTTTGCAAAAAATTATTGTCTGACTCTGGCCCTATATGATCCCTGCATAAGCTATAAGAGGACACTTCCGTGCATAATTAATACAGATCATGTTTCTTTACAAGAACTGAACTCAATTCAGAAAAATGCAACCAGCCCATTGTAGCCCAGCAAACTGTCTATTTGGAAAGAATGGGGGTGGGGGCAAGTTCCTTATATGGCTGATGCATAAGGGACACAGCTTTACCCAATCGGCACTTGAGTCGGGTTGACTTTGTACGAGATGTTGGGAGAGTTGGTATTGAGGGAAACACAGGTACGGTCAATTTCCAGGGCTTCCATTTTCCCACGATGGTCAAAGTTCACCTGTTGACGGGCCTCTTGCAATAGGCTAGGAATAAAAAGCAAAGGGGGAAAGTAAACATTAAAGGATTTGAGAGGGTACTTTAGTATCAGCCTCTCAGTTTCCTTCCGTTTTTATTTGTTTTAGTGAACAGCATTAGTAATTGCTGGTTCAGGTAATCGCTGGAAATGTAATAGTCTCCCTGAACCTAGATGACATGCTAAGCCATGGTCCAGTCAAAGGGCTGGAGGTACCCTTCACTGGTGTGATAAGGCCTGCTGCTCAGGCTTTAGCTGATAATAGCCAGAAAGTGCCCAAGTAGCATTTTACATGGTTGTCACTGGTTTCTCCCATGCCCCTGACAGTGCTGCCGGGAGTGAGAGAATGCCATCAGGACCTGCTGTACCTTGCCCATTCACACCCTTTTCAGAGAGGTAGCATGCACTCATTTTTTGGAGAGGATCGGGGCTCTGAGAGCAGGGTATAAGAGGTACTGCAGGGACTGACAGGACTCCTACAGAGAGGGGCCAGGTATCAGGGAGGATGGGAGGAAGGAGGAGGCTGGAAACTCCAAGGGAAGGAAGCGGTGGGAAGGAGTTGAGGTGCATGTACACCAATGCTAGGAGCATGGGTAATAAGCAGGAAGAGCTTGAAGCTCTCCTGGGAATAGGAGGGCATGACCTGGTGGGAATCACAGAAACTTGGTGGGATAAAAGGCAAGTCTGGAATGTGAACATAGAAGGGTATCACCTTTTTAGAAAGGACAGGAAGGGAAAGGGGGTGGGGGCGTGGCTTTATACGTCAGGGAAGGGATAGGATGCAGTGAGATAGAATGCAGCACAGAAGGGGATTCGGTAGAGGCAGTCTGGGTAAAACTTAGGGGTTTTGACAGGGAAAGAGACCTGACAGTGGGGGTATGTTATTGCCCTCTAGGTCGACTTGAGACCCTGGATGATGTCCTGACAGACCAGATTCTAAGGATATCTTGGGGGAGAGACACAGTAATTATGGGAGATTTCAATCTCCCGGATATTAGTTGGTAGACTCACTCAACGGTGACATCCAGGTCACGTCGCTTCCTAGAAGCTATAGAGGGAGGGTTTTTCACACAGAGGGTCCGAGAGGCGACAAGGGGGGGAAACATCCTTGACTTGGTCTTGACCAATAGGGAGGAGCTGATAGGTGAAGTACAGATTAGGGGAGCTCTGGATGCGAGTGATCACTCCATCCTTTGCTTTATGATTAGGGGACTGGGAACGTGCAGCAGGTCGAGCACTAGAAGCTGGGACTTCAAGAGGGCCAACTTTGGCCAACTGAAGGCCACTGGGGAAGGTCTCCTGGGATATGTATGTATGTATGTATTTATTTAGGGGACTTCTATGCCACCTCATTCGCCGAAGCCTCGGGGCGGCTCACAAACCATAAATAAATAGAATTCAATAAAACAATATAAATGAACAATATAAATTAAGTCACCCTGGCCAAAGAATAAAATGAATCAATAATATTAACAATTAAAATAACATTTGAAAAAAAGGTCTTCGCCTGGGGCCGAAAAACAAATAACAACGGCGCCAGGCGGACCTCTCTGGGGAGCGCATTCCATAGATTGGGCGCCACCACAGAGGAAGCCCTCCTTCGAGTACTTACCCTCCTAATTTCCTTCATGGAGGGTTCCCGGAGAAGGGCCTCTCCCGCTGATCTCAAGGGGCGGGCGGGCATATATGGACGTAAGCGCTCCTTCAGGTAACCAGGACCCAAGCCGTTAAGGGCTTTATAGGTCATCACCAACACCTTGAATTGGGCCCGGACTTCAATGGGAAGCCAGTGAAGCTGACGGAGGACTGGAGTCATGTGAACATAACACCCAGTCCCCATCAGCAGCCTGGCAGCTCTATTTTGCACCAATTGAAGTAGCCGGACCATCTTCAAGGGCAGCCCCATGTAGAGCGCGTTACAGAAGTCAAGTCGGGAAGTCACCAATGTGTCACTGTCGCCAGGCAGTCGTTCTCCAGGTAGGGGCGCAGCTGATGGATCAGCCGAAACTGAAAGAAAGCGCTCCTCGCCACCGCTGTCACCTGAGCTTCCAGTGAAAGCTCTGGGTCAAGGAGCACTCCCAAGCTGCAGACCTTGTCCCTAAGAGGGAGTGCAACCCCATTCAGGACTAGGTTCAATTCACCCTTCCCGAAACCCAATCCGCCAACCAACAGGACCTCCGTCTTGTCTGGATTGAGCTTCACTTTGTTGGCCCTCATCCAGCCCATTACCTCAGCCACGCACCGGTTCAGTACAACCACTGCCTCACCTGGGTTGGTGGAGAACGAGAGGTAGAGCTGGGTATCATCAGCATACTGATGACTCCGCAGCCCACACCTCCTGATGACCTCTCCCAGCGGTTTCATGTAGATGTTAAATAGAAAGGAGACAAAATGGACCCCTGTGGTACTCCATGGCATAGCTGCCATGGCGCAGAGCCATAGTCCCCCAGCACCAACTTCTGGAATCAGCCACTGAGATAGGAGCAGAACCACTGCAAAGCAGTGCCTCCAACCCCCAATCCCGCTATTCTATCCAGAAGGATATCATGGTCGATGGTATTGAAAGCCGCTGAGATGTCCTGAAGAACCATCAGGGACGCACTCCCCCTGTCCTTCTCCCCGCACAGGTCATCGTACAGGGCGACCAAGGCAGATTCAGTACCGTATTCGGGTCTGAAGCCAGACTGAAATAGGTCCATATTTTCATCCCAAGAGTGCTTGGAGTTGTCCTGCCACCACCCGCTCCAACACCTTGCCCAGAAACGTGATGTTGGCCACTGGTCTATAATTAGTGGCCATCTCTGGATCCAGTGATGCTTTCTTCAGGACCGGTTGGACTACCGCCTCCTTTAAAGGGGCAGGTACCTGACCCTCCCTCAGAGAAGCATTAACCACTTCCAAGATCCAGATCCCAATCCTGTGCTTGGCGTTGTTTATTAACCAAGATGGGCAAGGGTCCAATAGGCAAGTGGTGGGACGAGTACGTCCCACCAC